TCCTTAATTCTGTTGCGAGAAATCATTCATTGGCAAAACAATTATTAGGTTATGCTATTTTGGAATTTACTTTAACCGAAGCTATTGCCTTGTTTTCCTTAATGATGGCCTTCTTAATCCTCCTTGTCTTTTCGAAAAAAAAAAAAGAGTGGAAGCGGGCTAGTCCCCGAAAATGACCGGTACTTTAGCGTTGGGGACAAGTAAGATTATTATCTGGTTTATCCGCCATCGTTATCACAAATTGAATATCCTGTTAATGTGCCAGCCCTAGCCCGTCTTGCTCTTCCAATTCCATTTCGAGAGTCATCATAGCTCTTTTGGACTTATACATGCAGCACCCTTTTATCTTTCGGCATAGACCCTTCTTCCTCCTTGCGATGCAAAGGCAATGTCAGGGAGTCCGACTCTTCAATAGAAAAAAAGAAGGTCGTGTGCGAGTCGGCTGGGAAAACACAAGCTTAACACGTCTTTCTTTATCTTTTTCATATCTGAATGTCTTTGTCGAGTTGGTTGGCATCATTCGTTCCTTTCTGTCTTTTCATTGTCCGCCTCCGCCCGAACAGATACGCACTAACCCACCTGAAATAAGGTAAAAGCCTTCTTTCCAACCCTTTGTACGAGACTCCTTTCTTCGTACAAATGCTCGTAGGCGAAAGAGACCTTCCTTTGCTCCTGTCGGCGGGATCAGCCAGTGTCCCCGTGTGTAAGGCCCTTTCCTGAAAGAGGTCGAATAGTTCCTGTCCCATTCATACTACTGTTGGCTTATGTGCTATGTCTAGCGGCTGGTGAATCCTACCCAGTATCGGGATTGGGTAGGATATTTCCTCGGTTTCCGAGAAGGGTTTTAATGGCGACCGGACTCCTCTTCTCTGGAAGTCTAATGGTTTGGGGGACGTCGATTCCCTGGATTTTCTGGCTTCCCTTCAACCAGCCACTCTTTTAGTTCCCAAAATATATAGAATCCAGAATCCTTTTAAGCGCCTTATCACGAAAGTGACCAAGCAAGCAGATGATGATGGTTCAGCCGGTAAGCTAGCAAGCTTACGAAATGAAGGAAGAGGAGACCCTTCTATTATAAGTTGAAAGCGAAGTCGATAGTCCTCGTATTGGTAATTATTATACGCTAAAAGTCTATATAAGATATAGAAGGCAAAATATGATAAAATAAATAAAATAAAGAAAAAGAAGAAGGCCCTCTATATTATTATTAATTAAGGCTGTGTAAGGGTGTGTCTATTTTCTTTCTCTTAACTCAGAAGTTCTTTTTTTTTTTTAGTAAGATAGTAGTGGATCGAGAAAGCAAAGCTTAAAAGGCGAAAGTGCTCTACCTACCCTCTCTTGTTTCAGGTATTCCACTCGTTCTCAAAGTATATAGCTCTAGTAGTCCTTTCTGCCTATTACACTCCTTCGCTCTAGTGATCGCTTCGTATACTACGCTTCTTATCCAGCGTATTGAACTCGTTTATTCCACTCGCTCCCTAACTCTAAGAGNCATCATAGCTCTTTTGGACTTATACATGCAGCACCCTTTTATCTTTCGGCATAGACCCTTCTTCCTCCTTGCGATGCAAAGGCAATGTCAGGGAGTCCGACTCTTCAATCGAAAAAAAGACGGTCGTATGCGAGTCGGATGGGAAAACACATGTTGATTCCTAGGTGTAGTGCTTCTTCCCCTCTGCTGCCTATTAGTGCTAGTAGAGTAGGATTGACCCGTAATACAGAACCTCTCCGACCTTGATTGCCCAACCTGAGAGCGGACAGCTAATGCGTTCCACTTATTGAACAGGGTTCTATGGTCGGTCCGTGACCCCTGGATGCCGAAGGCGTCCTTGGGGTGATCTCGTAGTTCCTACGGGGTGGAGATGATGGGGTCGGTCCATGGATTTTCCTTCCTTTTCTTTTGCCGCATTTCGCTCAAAGGGTTGAAGGGAGATAGTGCATCAAGCTGTTCGCAAGGGCCAACTTGATCCTCTTCCCCAGAGATCTCAGATGAGGGAACCCTGGGAGAGCCGNGCCAGAATAAAAGGTTCCACACGAGCTCCCGTTCTGCGGCGTGGTGGCAGGACCGCTAGCGCGCGCCCCTCCACTAAAACGGGTTGGAATGCCTGTATGCCTAATCTATGCAAAGTGGGTGCTCTATTCAGCAATACAGGATGTCCCTGCATAACTTCTTGAAGGATTTCCCAAACAATCGGCTCTTTTTCTCGAATTTTACTCTTAGCTTGGATGGTGTGAGTTTGTCAAATGCTCGACAAGCTGCTACATTAGCGGCGCATAAACTATGTTCGTCAACCAAGTTTTCCGGACCAACCACTGGTGATTTCCGACAAGTCTTTTCCCGGGGGAGCGGAAAAAGAAAAGAAAATGAACATTAGCAGTTGACAAGGTCGAAGTTATTCTATCTAATCATGAAACCTTGGCCGATGTATCTGGCGGCTCATATTGTTTGTTGACCATAATTTATGAATTCAGTTATCATAGGGAGCATATTTAGAATATCTATAAAAAAGTATGGCCAATACCGGGTATATAAGCAGTGATTTCAAATTCAGAGGTTAATCATACTCTGGCAACTTTACGTAAGGCAGAGTTTGGTTTTTTTGGGGTGATAGTGGAAAAGTTGACAGATAAGTCATCCTTACTGCCACTCTACAGAACCGTACATGAGATTTTCACCCCATACGGCTCCTTGTTCAATTCTTTCTAATTCATTGGATCTTTTCCGCGTTCGAGAATCCCCCAAGATTTCTGATTCACCGCTTGGACCTAAAAACAATCTACTAAACGTCTTCCGATTCTGTTGCGGGTATTTTATTTTCTTAGATCTTATCGATCTATGCCTTTTTGGTCTATGGGTAGGGTAATATTTTTTGGCCGGATATGTACTATTTGCAACAAAATTTTTGATGGGCAAAATCAAGTAATTCAAAATTCAAAAAATTATAGAAAGATGATACTTTTTTAGGTAATCTGTAATTTTTGACCCCCTCTTGTCCCATTGATAGAGCTTCAAGGTCAAAAGTTAAAAGTGTTGCTCATGGGATAAGTGAAGGGCAACACTTATTAAACATAAACATTCTGTCAATGAGACAAGTGAGGAGAAAAGTTCAAGACCATTTACTTTAAGAGCTATTTGTGTCTTTCACCTAATCAAACTAGCCAAATAGTCACTTTGCCTTATTTTCTCAAAAATATTTGAAGCTGAAGTGACCAAATGGAGTAAAAATTTCATGGGGCTCCCTATTTGGTCGCCTCATTTAACATGTACCCACTTTTAATTTTTTTTTAAAATAGTACCCAAAATATAGACAACTTCATACCTCCTCCTCCTCCTCCTTCTTTTTTTTCTTTGTGGTAATAAAGGTGACCGTAGATATATATGGTATTTTTGAGCATGTTTCAAGGTGGTTTATGATATTTTATAATAGTGAGCTGCTGTGGCGCATTATTTTTTACTACTGCTTAGAGTTTCTTCTTCTTCTTATTCTTCTTATTCTTCTTCTTATTCTTCTTCTTATTTTTATTATTATTATTATTATTAATATTAATATTATTATTATTATTATTATTATTTAGTTGCAAAATGAATTTGTTAGATTTATTAATATTTTGACAAATTGATGATTAGGGGTTATTCTCGATGATATTTGGAGGTTATATTTTAAATTTGAGCTCATTTGGAGTAGATTTAGGTGTTAAATCGGGTATTAGGTTATTAAAATTCGAAAACCAAGTATTTGTTTCTGGGCAATTTGCACTTCAGACCTATTGGGCCTTATGTGCATGAAAATATTGGTGGCAATTCAGACCAATTTGGCCTTAAGTGCATCTGAAGTACAATTTTTTTACTTCAGACCTATTTGGCTTTAAGTGTATGAAAGCATTGGTTGCACTTTAAGTGTATGAAAGCATTGGCCTTAAGTTAAGTGCAATTTTGTTTATGAGATTAAGCTCTTAGCTTTACTAACGATGGAAAAGTCAGATGCCATTTCCATTTAATAAATTAAAATGCTTTCCAATAAAATAATCAACGTGAAAAAAATTGAGCAATTCTCTCTCGCTTCTCTCTACTTTCTCTCTCTAGAGCATGATAGTGAAGTTACCGTGCTCAGCCATCGGAATGTCCTGAGGAAGGCTGACGAAGAAGCAAAATAACAAGGCAGTAGTGGCCATTGAGGCGATTGCCAAAAGGATTGGTGTAGTAGCTGCATGCAAGGAAGGTGAAGGAATGGAAGAGGAGTCAGAGTAGCCAAATTTACCAAATCGGAGGAGTGGACCTAATACACCACTATCCGGTGCAATTGTTAGCGGAACTGTGCAGATGAGCAACAACTAGACTAAAGGAACTCCTCAATCTATGGTTCATGTACATGCAAAGATCAGCTTCAAAAGGAATAGATTGAACATGGAGGTGACAAGGTGACGGAGGTGCAGAAGACAGCGAAGGAATCACAAGCAAAAGGGCTTGAGAACAGGACATGAGCTAATCTAGTGGGAAACAATCGCTTTGGACTACGAGGTATGAATCTCGGCTTTGTGGCTCCAATTGTGCAAAATGGGGAAACTATTGTGGAATTAGCAAAAAACTAAGTGGAGAAGGAAACAGAGAAATGGCGGAATGCTATAATATTGTACGTAGTAGGTAACACACCTATGATCGGAGCTCTGGAAAGATTTGTTGCTAGCCAATGAAATTTTATGGCTAAGCCGATGATATTTTACCATAATGAGGAATATTTTGTAATAAAATTTACTAATATGGAGGATAGAGATGCAATTCTATTTTCTGGACCTCATACGATAGGTAATAAACCTATAATCACCAAAGTTTGGACACCTGATTTTAACTTCAAGGATGAAATTCTGAAAACTATTCCTCTATAGGTCACATTGCCAAATCTACCATTGAATTGCTGGAATGTTGATTCATTAAGTAGGATTGGGAGTGGGCTAGGGGTACCATTGCATGCTGATGAGTGTACAACTAAAATGGAAAGGATATCGTATGCCAGAATTTTAATTGGAATGGATGTAACAGTACCACTACTAGAAACTATAAAGGTGCAGGATCCAACTGAAAGGAATTTTAGTCAAAAAGTGGAGTACATATGGAAGCCAGAATACTGTGGAAAATGTTTGATGATTGGTCATAATTGTAATGAAATAAGGCAACAAAAAAATGTTAAAACAACAAGGATCAATGTGCAGAAGAAAGTATGGCAAATAAAAGGGGCAGCAGGGCAAATGCAGGAAAAAGAGAAAGAGAAAGAGACAGCAATCAATACTAAAAACCAAACAGTAGCAGGAAACAATGAAGGATGGAAGGAAGTTAAAGGAAAATCAGCAGCTAAGCCAACACATGCAACACCTGAAGGAAGGATGAGTATAACAAATGGCTTTAATATTCTCAACAAGCAGACTGAACATGAACAACAATCTGATCAACGCAGAATAGTGGAGAGAGGCCAGTGTAGCAGGAGTGAGAATACAAGGATAGTGCAAAATCTATTCAATCAACAATAAAACTAGTAGCTTGCAATATTAGGGGTCTTAATAAGAGTTTCAAGCAAAAGGAGTTATGTAGATTTATTAATACAAATAAAATTAGCCTCTTGGCTATATATGAACATAGAACAAATGAAGAAAAAGGGAAGTAGATTATGAAGAAAATTGCAGCAAGTTGGAGTTGTGCTACAAATTATGATGAAAATGGGAAGGTAAGGATATGGGTGATGTGGGATCCAAACAGTGTTCAATTCAATGAATTGTGAAAAAGTAGTCAATTGATTCATGGGAAGGTGATTATTGGTGCAGGCAGTGTTCAATGTTATTTTACAGCAGTTTATGGTCTTCATACTGTTGAAGATAAGAAAGTATTATGGCAGGAACTAGAAGGAATCCAGAATGGAATTGATGGGGCTTGGATAGCAATGGGGGATTATAATGCAGTGTTGGGAGTTGATGACAGAAAAAGTGATAATCTAGTACAAGAAGTGGAAATAAGGGACTTTAGGGATTTCATGTTAAACAATGACATGAATGAATTAAAATATATAGGGAGGAAATTCACATGGACAAATGGCCATGTGTGGAGTAAAATAGATAGAGTCATTATCAATGCAGAATGGATCACAATAATGAAGCAATTGGAAGTGGTGGTGATGGAACCATTCATATCTGATCATACTCCTCTGTGTCTATACTATGAGGAAAAAAGTAAGGATAGTCCAAAGCCATATAGATTCTACAATTATGTTGTTGAGCATCCAGAGCTCCAAAAAGTGGTGGAAAAGGCATGGAATACATCTAATAAATGGCAAGGAATGGAAAGAGTGTGGCAGAAACTTAAAGTAGTCAAGCAAGAACTGAAGAAGATGCATACAGAAGAGTTCAAAAAGGTTAGAGACACAGTTCAAACAATTAGAAAGCAGCTGCAGGAGACACAAGAGAAAATGCAGGATTCAAATCATCAAACAGACTTATTTAATACTGAGAAGAAGCTAAGAGGTAACCTGGAGAAATGGGGAATGAGAGAGGAGAGCATTATGAGACAGAAATCAAGAACAAAATGGTTGAAGCTTGGGGATTCTAATAGTGCCTATTTCTATGCTTGTATGAAGAATAGAATTTCTACAAATAATATTAAAGCCCTTGTGAATCAGGATGGTAAGTTATTGCAGAATGATCAAGAGGTGGAGGAGGAAGTTGTGGGATTCTATAAAAAGCTATTAGGGAATGCTGTTGAACAAATGCAAATGATCAATCCAACAATAATGAGAAATGGAACAATACTGACAAGAGATCAACAGATGAAGCTAATTGAGCCAATTACCACAAAAGATATCTGTAATTCAATGAAGAATATTGATGACAATAAAGCCCCAGGATGTGATGGTTTCAATGCATGCTTCTTTAAGAAAGCATGATCAATAGTAGGAGAAAAAGTAATTCAAGCAACAAAACAGTTTTTTGACACTAGAGAGATTTATAAGCCAATAAATTGCACTGCTGTGACATTGATCCCAAAAGTGAAGAGTGCAATCTCAATCAAAGAGTATAGACCTATATCTTATTGTACTGTGTTGTACAAGGTGATATCAAAGGTAATCACTACAAAGTTGCAGATGGTTATGGATAGCCTCATTGATGTAAGTCAAGCTTCATTTGTACCAGGAAGAGTTATATCTGACAACATTATTCTAAGTCATGAATTGGTAAAGGGCTATGGAAGGAAGGGCATTACTCCAAGATGTATGATCAAACTAGATATGCAAAAGGCTTATGACTCATTGGAGTGAGGTTTCTTAAAGCAGGTCTTGATAATAATGAACTTCCCTGCAAAATTTGTGCAGTGGATCATGAAGTGCCTTTCTACTATCTCATATTCTATACAGATAAATGGCAGGCCTACTTGTCCTTTCCTAGCAAGAAAAAGGCTAAGACAAGGGGATCCACTATCTCCATTCTTATTTGTCTTAGCTGTGGATTACCTAAGTAGGCTACTCAGAACCTTGAAGAACCAGCCTAATTTTAACTACCATCCTAGATGTGAGAAGCTGCAAATTATTCAGCTGGGCTTTGCTGATGATCTGTTGTTATTCTGCAGTGGTGATGAAGTATCTATCCATATGTTATATAACTATTTCATGGAATTCTCAAAGGTGTCAGGGCTGAAGGCAAATAAGAATAAGAGTTCTATATACTTTGGAAGTGCGAGCTTAATAGTATAGCAGAATGTTATGGATAAGATGGGGTTTCCTAAAGGAGAGATGCCTATAAGATATTTGGGGGTTCCATTAAGCACAAAAAGGATGTCAGCCATACAATTCCAACCATTGGTAGACAGGATACTTGGCAAAATAACATCATGGACTACAAAATTCCCTTCATATGCTGGCCGGAACTAGTTGATTAAGAGTGTGTTGCTATCAATCCAAATATATTGGTCCCAAATATTTGTCTTCCCAAAGAAAGTGATCCATCTCATAGAAGCTATATGCACGAAGTTCTTATAGACTAAAGGGACTGATGTGACAAAAAAAGCTTTAGTGGCATGGGAAAAACTGTGTCAACCAAAAGCTAATGGGGGTTGAAATTTGGTAGACATTGAACTGTGGAACAAAGCAGCCATATGTAAACTGCTATGAAACTTAGCTCAAAAAAAGGACAAGCTATGGGTGCAATGGATTCATACTTATTATGGGAAAGACAGAGATACAAAATATATTGAAGCTAATCAAGCTTCATGGCTGGTAAAGAAGATTTTGAGGGTTAAACAGTACATGATAGAGGTTGGGATCAACTTGGAAGAGACACTCGAGAAGAAGTACATAACCATCAGCAATATATACAAGATGTTAAGGAAAGATCACCAGAAGATGCCTTGGAGGAAGCTGATATGTAATAATGAAGGAATGCCAAAGTGGATGTTTATATTATACATGGCTATACTGGGCAAACTGAATACCAGAGACAGACTAGCAAGATGGAGAGTAACAAATGAGCTACTACGTCCTATATGTAATGTAGAAGAGGAAATCGTGGAACACTTGTTACATTTATAACAGCAATTTGGAGTACGATACTGTAGTAGATGGGTGTTAACAGGCAAATGATGGAATAGAGTCAAGAAATAGAATGTGCATGTAGCAATGCAAAAGGCAGATCAGCAAATGCTGAAATCTACAGAATAGCACTAGCAGGTTGTGTCTATCACGTGTGGCGGGAGAGAAACCACAGAATTTTTTGAGTTAAACAAAAGCAAGCAGGGATACTGATTAAGCAAACTATACAAATGATCTGTGGAAGGGGCTATACGGTGCCAAGACTAAAAAGAAGGCTTGAAGAGTTGAATTTCTATCCATGAGGGATGATGAAGTACTGACAATGTAATTTGAATTGTAAACAGATAGTCAGTAGATAGTATAGGAGATTTGATGAAACTAAGTCTGGGTGGATGTCCAGATGTAGTGTTTGTTTGATTTGAGCTGTAATGTCGTGCTTTGGTAATAAAATATGATAATTACCAAAAAAAAAAGTTGCGTACATTTGAAGTGCAATTTTTTCACTTCAGACCTATATATTCAAGCTTAAGTGCATGAATACATTTGTTGCACTTAAGACCTAGTTGGCCTTAAGTACAATTTTTGCATTTTTTACTTAGTTGGCCTTAAGTGCAATTTTTGCACTTTTGACTTAATTGGCCTTAAGTGCATTGCACTTCAGACGAAAAAAAAATTTCAACTTCAGACCCGATAAGTCTAAAGTTAATCCTAAGTGAGTAAACTTGCAAAATTTATGTAACGTAGGTATAACTTTAATTATGGCCTCAAAACTGGATATAAATACAAATGCCGGGGTCTTAGATTATCTATTTCACCGACGGCCCAGTTGACATCCACTTCATTGATAGTCGCCCAATTATCAAGTCTGATTTTGAACTATAAAAAACATTTTCCGACTTCCAATGCAATTTTTCAGTGCTACTACATAACTCCCCTCATCAGACTGCAAAAATAGCTCAAGTAGTATAATCTTTATGAAGTAGGATAAATCATGTTAGCCATTTTATGTACAAAACAACACAATCAATGATTTTCCTTTTTCCTCGAGGAGAAGCATTGATGGTGTAATTATTCGCAAATTGGAAAAGTTGTGTTGCAACATAGCAAAGTTTGAAATTCAATCAAATAGATGAAGAATTTAAAACATAGTCACACTTGAGGAAGAATTCACATGACACCATACGCATGAACGAAAAAAGAAAATGAGCCATTTTTCAGTATTTGGACTAAAGAAAATGAGCCATTTTTCACAATATAAATTAGCTGGGTATAATAACATTCTTTTGAAATTCTTTATCATATTTCTATTTTTCCTATTTTATGGGTTGTCCCCGAAGGAAATGATGGCCTTCTTTATGGGAGATTTTCTTTTTTTTTTTTGCAGGCAAATATAGCTCACCTGAGTTAACCGATGACAGAACTTAATAAGTTTAAAAAAAAAAAAAGAATCAGCTTGGTGTAAAAAATATCCCGTGTTTACGCATGATCTGAGGAAGGACCGCACTCCAAGGGAATGTGATGTAGTCAGCCAACTCTAATGCAAATATCAGTGGTTGATTCCACCAAAGCTTAAAAAGTGACTTCATAAAAGGCCACTTGTGCAAATTTCATTTGAATCCAATAATCTCCTATCCAAAGATAATATAATCTCCAAAAGAGAAAAAGAAAAAAAAAACTAACCAGGTTATAAATCTCTAAGTCCAGCAGAAAACAGAACATCACAAAGTAAAAATAGCACGGGCTAGCCAGTTTTTGAACTGGTCATTCAAAAATAGCCAACGTTTGCAAAGTCAGTAATAAATAGCCACTATATTGCTGCAACACGGAAAGTTCCAGCATAATATACTGGAGATCGATGCACCTGTGTATGAACTTCTAGCATATTATGCTGGAACTCCAACACGCAGAAAGTTTCATTACAATATACTGGAGATTGGAGCATCGAGATTGGAGCATCGATGCTCCAATCTCCAGTATATTATGCTGGACCGGTATATTATACTGGAACTCCAGTATATTATACTAGAGATTTTTTCGGATTTTAAACAGTATTTTCGTTCAAATTTATCTTTACATGAAAAGTGGCTAAATTTCGATTACTTTTGAAACTGTGGCTATTTTTGAATGACCACTTGTAAATTTGGCTATTTTTGAATTTCTCCCCATCACAAATGGTGCATAACTGGGCCAAGTATGTCTCATGCCGTGGAAATGATATCATATAGCCACTGTAAAGGGCTACTCTTCAGAAATTAGTCAGTTTATCATAAAAACAAAATGAATAGTGCTAATCTATAAATATATAATGACTATGCACTTGTCCCCCAAAATACCCATTTTTATTTGGGCTCCTTATCCAATCCAAATAGTCCACAAAAATCTTATATCGTCATCTTCCCACAAAAACCTCTGATAAATCCCCCATCTTGAAGCTTATACTGATAACTGATAAAACCCAAGCAGAACAAGAAGACATCACTACCTTTTCTTGAGCTCATCCCAATTCCACTGCCTAAAATTCTGTAACTTCCACTGAAGCAATGCTTAGCCTGGGAAATTTTCCTAGGCAAACCCAATGTTGTGCTACCTTTAGTAACAGCCCAATTTCACAAATTCTTCCTCTTTATTCCAAGATTCCTCAAACCCACTTGTTTTTTCCCTCAAATACAGTGACCCATTTAAGCATTCGTTCTCTTCCGTGGCAAAAACGAACTGGGGTGTGCATTTTTGCAATCAAGAGTGAAGAAAAAAGTGGAAATAATGTAGTAGAAATGGAAAATCTTGATGATGATGAATGTGATGATGATGTGGATAATTTTTTAGTAGATGAGGAGGATGATGTGGAAGGAGATGATGACGATGAAGATGAGGTAATTATTCCATTAAGGAATATGAAGAAGTGGTTAGAAAACAAGCCTAGTGGATTTGGAGTAGATAAAGTGTATGATACTTCAGTTGAGGATAAGTTGATGGAAGAAATTGAGCAGAGTAAAAAAGCTCAGCTTGCTAATATTAATAAGCTCAAGAACAATCCGGTTAAAGCTAATTCTAAAGAGGTTCAGCACGATAAAGGTAACTTCTTTTGATGATTTGGTTTTTGTGTTAATTTCGATTACTACTATGTGTTATGAGCTTCTGCTGGACATAGGATCTCGCTAGAGGCAAAATGATTAAATTATGTATTTGTTCATAGTTAGTTGCCCGCAAGAATGAATCATTTATCATATTAAGGAGTTAATAAGAGCTGAGCTAAGTATTGTGATTGTTAGCATAGCCTAAAGTCCTATAGTACCTATTGTTTGTAATTAGTCTGATAAATTTCTTACTTAGAAATACAGATTCTTTTATGCTAAAAATATTATTTCAAAGGAAATTAAACTAAAGTTAACCTCTTTTCTGCAATAACATAAGAGAATCAGGGTATAAATTAGTCACTCCCGCGGCACCAAAACCATCTATTAAAGCATCTAATATACCTTGTTGAGTTAAAGATTGGCTGAGTCCATTCTGCTTTAGGCTCTCTGGAATTACTTCTTAGGTCAATTGGTAAAGAAATATCTCGGATATCTTAAGTTTTTAAAACAGGCGAAAAGGGTGTTAGAAATCAGAGTGCCATACTTTGATTGAAGGAATGTGCTATTGTCTCCTACTCTCCTTACATGTCTCGGGCAATCCTCACCTTGTGAATTAGCTTTTGCGATTGACTTAGACTCAAGTTCCATCTTTAACATGGTATTAGAGCCAACCAATTCCTTTCCTTGGTTTACCTGATGTTGGACCTCCATGTTATATTAACCATGCTCCAGATGTCTAATCCTAGGCATGCGAGGAGATAGTGAATATTAGAATGTCTCATAGTGGTTGTTGTCTCCTTATATGTTCTTGAGTAGTTTTAGGATTGTTAAGCCTGAGATCTATTTTCTTAACAAAGGGAAATATCTAACAGTACAGTAAACAGACAATGGCAATGCGGAAGTTTATAAATGAGCAATGAAATGCTCGGCACATCTTCTCTTTAAGCCCCTTCTTTTATCTAGACCCTTTTTCCCTTTTTAATGTTCTCTTGTTTCTCTTTTTCTTTTCATTCTTAACTCTAACCAACAATAAGAATTTTTTTTTTTATCATGGGTGAAATTGGTCTATTCCAAAACAAGGCAGATATTTGA